GGAAATGGCAACCCACTGCAGTATCCTTGCCAGGAAAATTCCATGGACGGAGAAGCCTGGCAGGCTACAGTCCAAGGGGTCGCAGAGTCAGATACAACTAAGTGACTTCATTCACTTATAATGCAAAAGCCAAACTCAATATGCTTTTCCTGAAGTTGCTCCTCCTGCAGTATTTACCATCTGAGTTCATGACTACACTGTCACTGTTTTTTTTTTTAAGCCAGAAACCTGGGGGTTGTCCTTGAAATTCCACTTCCTTTCCCCACATCTGTCCATTCGGTCACTAGAATAGTCTTTAATATACTCAGCAGAAGCCTTTGACTTGACCTCTACTCACGCCAAGACTTTCATTCCCTTCTTGGTTGTGCTATCTATATTCTGACAATATAGCCTTTGAATTTCCAGGATGTTCAGGTCACTTCCAGATTTATCTGCACTTGGTTTTCCTTTCAGCATTCTATTAGATGTTTTTCTCATCTAGTATCTCTGTTACTTAAAAAAAAAAAAGCCAACCAAACCCAAGCCTCTAATAAATGATTCCCCTAAGGTATTAATTATAGGCTATATTTATTTTTCCTAGAGTTATTTGCATTTTGTAGAGTTTCATGGAAAGGATAGTGTCCAACCCAAAAGTTTGTGATGTTTTCAATTTCTTAACGTTACATGGGTATATCATCAGCTGAAAAGGATATTAGAAGTGATGTGTTTGTTCAATAATTGTTTGTTAATAATGTACTATTTTTCATATTTAATGGCATGTTTATAACAGAAGTTCTCAAAACTATCTGGTCTCATAATTTCTTTATACTCTTAAGAATTATTGTAGACTCTGAAGAGGTTTTACTTATTTGGTAATAACTTTCAATATTTATTGTTCTAGAAATTAAAGCTGGGAAATCACAAAGATACTTATCTGAAGCCTGTTACATGTTAACATACATAGCATTTTTAAAACCGTATTTTTCCCCCATTAGTAAGAAGAGTGGCATTGTTTTGTATTTTTGCAAATCTCTCTAATACTTAATAGATAACTGGATTCCTTTATATGCTTCTGCATTCAGTCTGTTACAGTATTATACATCATAGAGCCTCTGGAAAACTTCACTACACACTGTGAGAAAACGAGAATAAAAAAAGGCCAAAGAAATGGAATTATGCAGTAGTATTTTGTGAAAACAGCTTTGATCCTGCAGACCCCTGGAAAGGGTTAGGGGACCTTCAAGGATCCCCCAGCTCATTGCTTTGAGAATCTCTACGCTGTATTATTCTCTTGTATTCTGATGTCTTTTTAAAAAATTTTTTTTATTTCCTTCTCCTCATTTCAAAACTAAAGCCAACACATGCTTATTGTTTAAAAATAATAATTATACAGAGATACATCCCACGGGAGGTGTTAATCCCTCTCCCTATATAATCCCCGTTAAGAATTTCCCACTTGTGTGTATGGGTTAGTATTGTGTATACATGTACACTTTTACAAGTAGAAGAGAAAAATGCAAAGTTGTTTATGTCTTGATTGAAAAACAAATTGAGAACTGAGGTCGAACAGTGAGCAGTAGAGCCTGGAGTTCAGGAGACCTGGGTTCTGGCTGCCTCTGCCCCACTGGCTTTCAGCAGACTTCTTAGTGATGCTGTGATCCCCGTGGTGGCTCAGTGGTAAAGAATCTGCCCACAGTGCGGGAGACTTGGGTTCAATCCCTGTGTGTCAGGAAGATCCCCTGGAGAAAGAAATGGCAACCTGCTCCAGTATTTTTGCCTGGAGAATCCCATGGACAGAGGAACCTGGCCGGCTACAGTCCATAGAGTCGCAAAAGAGTCGGACATGACTTAGCAACTAAACAACAGCTTATCAACCCTGGCCCAGGGTCCTTGGTCTGCAGGGAAAGGGTCTGCAGTGCTTGGTGACCTGTAAGGGCGTTTCCACCTCCAGGTGCCAGTGTGGTGTAGAACTTAATTTGTTTTCCCAGTACCAAATGGCTAAATGCCAGAAAGGGATGGTAGAATTTTGTGACTCAAAATGTTTGGTTTTGGTGAGTTAAAAGAAGGTTGTTCCTCTGGAAATAGTGTCTTTTAAATTGTAATTGTTGTCAACAGCAGAACTCCCACTCAGATGGTTAGAATTCTGTGGGACTCAGATAATGGGTTGATTGATATGCCTCTCTGGCAGAACAGTATTGTACTTGTGTAGTTATCTTCTCAGTATTTTGTGCTGTCTAATTTTATGTAAGTGAGAAGACAGTCCTAGAGAAAAAAAAAAAAACACTTTACGAAAAGTGGAATTTAATTCAAATTTCTGAAAAAATCATAAGACTGTAGCTTGACATAAGACTTTCATGTATAGAATTTTCCTTCAGGTAGTAGCTGCTTATGAAAACAGTCGTCTGTGTGTTTGCTTGGTGAGGGGACAAATACAGCGAGTCCCCGAAGTACCGAATGTTCTCAATTTACCTTTATCATTTGCAATATACTTTCTCATAGATATTAAGTTTATTTGTAGCTGGATACAGCTGTACTTTTGTTATTAATCACAGGCTACCAGATTGAATGGTTTAGAACAATCAAGCAGATCAGAAGTCAGATACACAGCCCACGGAGCTAAAATTAAGATGTCAGTGTGTTCCTTTCTGGAGGCCTGAGGAGAAAATCCATTTCTTTGCTTTTTTTGGCTTCTAGACGCTGCCCACATTTCTTGGCTAGTGGCCCCTTTGTCCATCTTTAAAAAAAAAAATATGGAACGCTTCAGAAGTCTGTGTGTCATCCATGCGCAGGGGCAATGCTAATCTCTGTATCATTCCAACTTTAGTACATGTGCTGCCAAAGCAAGCACCCTTTGTGCGCCTTAAAGCTGGCAATAATGGGCTGAGCCCTCTATTGCCTCACTCCTACCTACTGTCTACTTTTAAAGACCTTCGTTGGGCCCACTCAGATAATACAGAATAATCTATTTTAAGATCAGCTGATTGGCAAAGTGACCTGCCATGTAATGTAACATGTTCACAGGTAACTGTGGGTTAGAATCTTTCAGGGGGCTATTCTGCCTGCTCTATCTACGTTCTGTGCATTTTGGTTTGTGGCTTCTTCTTTCAAAACAGCCTTACTCTGTTGTCCTTTTAATTTCTAATCCACCAATTAGATTCCTTTTTGTTTTTCTACAAAGCACTTTTATATTAATATTATGAATCTTCTTTCTCAGTATTAGTGATTGGAATGCAGAGGAGGCAGTGATGGGTTTTCAGTTTACCATCTGGATCCAGTCTTCCCAGTACTAATATATTTTTAAAGTGTTTTTTAATTTTATAGATCTGAGTTTTTTATGCTAGTCCTTGAGGAGGTAATAGACCTTTGAGCTCTTTGGACTGCCTGTTCTCTTTATTTTGGTACAAGATGTACTGTAAGATTTCAAGATTGGAGGAGGCCATGGCAACCCACTTCAGTATTCTTGGCTGGAGAATCCCACAGACAGAGGAGCCTGGTGGGCTACAGTCCATAGGGTCACAAAGAGTCGGACATGACTGGAGCGACTTAGCACACACACAGGGCAGAGTCTTCTAAGTTAGAAAACCTCAGGTGTCTATTTAAAGCTGATTAGGGAAGAGGGATGGGGGTGATCTAATCGTTGGAGGAAGTAGTTTCCAGGCAGGACTTTTCTGTCTGGAGCTTCCCTGTCTATGCAATACCCTGCATAGATGATCTATTGCAGCATGATAGGGAGTAAACTGACCTTGATAAGTGTTCACCAGCTTTCCAGCCCCCATTTTTCTTGGAAATTGCTTGTAAGGTGAGCAAGGATGCCAGGAGAATAGATTTGTAGACTGTATACCTTTACAGATCCAGAGTTACTTAAAACATTAAATATTATCTAGTTCTTATTAGGAAAGATCATTTATGTGGGAGCCATCAGAATAGCATAAATAGCTGAAAGCAGATTGAATTTAATAAACGTTTAAGAATAGATGCTATTCAGAGATAAATAGATGTTCTCACAATCTGGTGGAAGAGTGAGATTTCACTGCAGCCTGAGTGCTCTGAGACATAATCAAGTGCTGTGGGAACACAGAGGACCTGATGGCTGGGGGTAATAACATTTAATCTGAGTTTCTAAGAGTAACTAATAGGACAATACAGTGTTCTCCCTTGTCAGGCTCATCTATAAATAGATAAGAGACTTAGCACATTTTTGTTCTTATCTTTAAAGTTGACTTAGTTTCGAATTGTTTTCATGATAAAAATATTCTGTGTTACCATTATTAGATCAGTAGCCTCAAACTTGATCTTATGCCCGAGAATATACACCAGAGGGGTCTGCATCTAGGTTGATAACCATAAACCCACCTGGGGATTTCATGCATATGATTTTATCCCTAACTGTATGCTTCTGGTTTTTGTCTGTCATAGTGCTTTATGAATGAAAAGACTGGTTATTGGCTTCTTATTTTTCCCCACTGATAATTTTTGTCATTGGATTCTCTTGGATGAATTATTTATAGAATTTTTAGCAAAGATATTGTCCCTCTTTTATTTAACACATAAGCAGACAGAGCTATTTTAAAGAACAATATGATCCTTAACCCTCTTTTACTTTGTGGTGAATATATTATTAAGCAGAGAGTAAAGAAATATGTATCTGATTACTAGATTTTTTGGTTTCTTGGGTTATCAGAGGAGAGCATAGGAGCAGTAACTGACCAATAAAAGGTTAAAAATCCATTTACCTGCTATCTTGACATGTGTCCAAGGTTGAAAATCCCTAAGTTTGTCATCTCCAGGGACCCATTACATTTTCTTTTTCAATATCAGAAAAATATTTCTTCTGTCTGTTCAAGTATGTAACTAACAGAAGTTTGAACAATAATGATCCCAGTAGATTAAAATAATCTGTATATTTGTTCACTGAAAATTTGATTTGACCCATTGATAGCAGCACACTTATGTCCATTTAAAAGTCATGGCTCATTATTTTTGTGATACCATAATGGCTAAAAGCTTTTCAAACTTTTCAGGGAAGCGTGACAGCAATGACAGTATTTTTTCCCTTGGATACAGCTCGACTTCGACTTCAAGGTGAGTATCTTATTGTCATCATATTCCTGTTCATTTGATGTCAGGAAGCAAACTTATTTCTCTACTAAATTCTAAATTAACATAAGGATATTCTGTTTCATTAGTATCTGCTGTTGTCCATTTTCACTGACTTTAAAGACTGGTCATCATTGCTATTTCCTAATTAACAGAGAGATGTTTGTGAATGAGTCATAGCCTCAGCCGTTTTCTAATCTGAGAGACCTGAGTAGGTTTGCATTAGTCATTTTGAATCATCACAGTTCGTTCTGATAAACAGTATGACTTTTCAAAGGCAGAATGTCGAGTTTTTTTTTTTTTTTTTACTAGCAGTAGATTTTCTGGAAAGAGAACAGAGAATAGGAAACATGGACCCACATAGCATTATCATTGCTCATCTAGGCTTGGAGTTCTAGGCGCCCTCCCCTCATTTCACTTTATATTTATAAATTCTACTTGTTTTTTCTCAGTATTTTTCAACTTGAAATTATAAACTTGTGCCCAAAGTTACATTAAGAGATAAGAGTAAGATTAGCTTTGAATAAACTAATTGCTGTGTTAAAACCCTTCATGACTACTGTTTAATTAATTTTAGATATTTTGGGCAGGTAGTACTTTTACATGATTCAAAACCTAAAATACATAAAAATATAGATAGTACAGTGAAAAAAATCTCACTCTAGTCTGCCTCCTTTTCTCTCCCCTATAGATAATATCTTTTGTTAGTCTCTCAGATAGCCCTGAGAGTCTTTATGGACTAACAAGCAAATGATATATATTCTCAATTTTCTCTTTCTTACTCAAAAAGCATACTTTTCTTACTATTCCATATCGTGCATTTTTTGGATGCCTTCCAAATCAGCTTACTGGGGGCTTCTTGATTCTTTCCTCTGGCTGTAGAGTGGTCCACGGCATGGCTTAAACATAACCTGTGTACCCCTCCACCATTAGAGATTCTTGGATTATTTCTCCTCTTTTGTCAAATAGATTTGTTCATATGTCATTTTGTTTCTGTAAGTTCTGTGGGCTAAATCCCCAGAAGTGGGGTTGTTGGCTCAAAGTGTGAATATTTGTAATTTTGATGGTTATCGTCAGATGCCTTGTGCAGTGTTTCCTAATTTGTCATTTCATGAGCTGTGCAGGTACCAATTTTCTTAAGTAATTGGTTCATTTTCCCATTTTTAGATTTTCAAAATATTCAGATATGGGTAGGAAATTTGAAATTAATTGAAGTAGGTTTTGTTTTCATTGAGAATGCCAAGAAAAGTAGAGTTCTCCTTTTGAGACCTCTTATTTTTTTTAGAATAGGAAACAGAGCCCAAGGCTAATATTTTGGAAGCTTGAATTTTAATCCTGGCTCTGCTGCCTACCACATGTGTCCTTCATAGTGTTGTGTCTGTGACCTCTTCTCTAAAAGGGAAATGGTAATTTATTTCCTCTCTACTTTATAAGATATTAAGATAAAAATGAGAATATATAACTTTGAAAGAAAAACCAACAGAAGAGCCCTATGAAATATAAAAAATAAATTTCTCCTGTTACATCTTTTACTTTGAAAATCAGGTATTGAATGAAAATGTTTTATGGTTCATGAATAACAGTTAAAACCCAGGGAATCAGCAGTTGAGAATTTAGCCCATGGGAACACAGGAGAATCATTGAATTCTGAGGCAAACGAGGGAGCCCAAAGATTGCAAAATTGCTCAGGTGAGGTCAGTGGCCTTTCAGTGAAACTTGCTGATGCTGCAGATAATAATTCTCAAAGGATTTATCTTTAAACTCTTTGATCTTGTAGTTGATGAGAAAAGAAAGTCCAAAACAACACACATGGTGCTCCTGGAGATCATTAAAGAAGAAGGCCTGTGAGTACTACTATCTCGTTCATCTTTGTTAAATGGAGCAGCTCACTGGGAGGTTCCTGGGCCTCTATCATGTCTCTGCTCACTTTCTATCCATTTCTCATAGCCTCATATTGTGAATTTGTAATTGCCTGAAATTAACTGCGTAGTTATTTTCACTTCCTTAAAGTTCTGTGGTTGGCCATTTTAATTCTTGATCACAGAGACTTAACATGAAACCTATGCGTTGTTTTATGTACAGTAAATTGAAGGAGGTACTAGCTGTTTGATTCATTCCTATCAGATACTTTCAGACCAGGAAATGTACCTTTTAAAAAGCTTTAAAAAAAAAAATCTTTTAATTTGGAAATAATTTCAAATTTACAAAAAGTTGCAAAGCTAAAATACTGTTAATACGAAGAATACCAGTATGTACTTTACCCAGATTGACCTGTTGTTGATACTTTCTTTTTTTTCTTGATACTTTCTTTCCTATTTGTTTTTTCCATTTCGGCTCATACTTTCTCCTTCCCTCTCCCCCCACCCCATCCTTCTTTTTTTGGGGGGGCCTCAGCTCATTCTTTTTTATTTTTATTATTATTATTTTTTTTACAGTAGGTCCTTATTAGTTATTTTTTTTTTTTAGTTGTTTTTTTTTTTTTTTAAATCACAACCATAGTGACCCCATCCTTCTTGCTTTACTGCACAGACACGTACACACAACACACACAGGTTTTTTTCAGAATTTTTGTAAGTAAGTTATATACCATACATCAAGCCCTTTACCCCTGTGACTGACATTTTCAGAGTGTGGACCTTCTCCCCTTACTTTTCCTTAAATAAAATGTTTCTCATTTTAAGTTTGGCTTATGTTTCTTCATGATTAGCCTGAATCTGTGCATTCTTGGGCAGGATAACATGTAGGTGAAATTGTGTCCTTCTTGGGATGTCCCATCTAGAGTCACATTTTGTCCACTTGCCCTTTACTGGTTAATTATGATTTCTTAGATTTGAGTTAACCACTGAATAATTTTATTTTTCCTCTCTTGCAACTGTAAGCAGTCTATGAGGAAATACTTAATTTAGTATTTTAGAGACTCAAAATGGAGTGGTTTCTGGTTGATTGCTTGGTTGTGTTGGTGGTCAGATTGTCCCAGCTGTGCCCAGCGTGAGCCCCTGCAGTCTGGTTCCTGTGCCCTTGTGTCCCCCATCACCGCTGTTCTGTATTTACTTAATTTTAAATGTTCTTGCCCTGTAATAAAGTGTGAATGATGCTATATTAACTAGCAGTCATGAGGAAATTGTCTCTAATATTTTATAGTAATTTCTAAAGGAAATCAAGGTGGGGGGATCAGTAAATCAGTCATTGAATGTATGTTGTTTCCTGGTATCATTAATGCTAGAAAAGATTTCTTGGGCATCCTCAGAAGGTAGGATATGTGTACAGTTTGGGGTACATTTTGATATAGGAATGAACTTGAAAATATGTGAATGACAATCAGCCTTTTCTAGAGGCTTCTGTCCCACATCTTTACTTTGCTTATTGTGTTCTTCTCCTAGCCTGGCACCATATCGAGGGTGGTTTCCAGTTATCTCCAGTCTCTGCTGCTCCAATTTTGTATATTTCTACACTTTTAATAGCCTCAAAGCAGTCTGGGTCAAAGGTCAGCATTCTACTACTGGAAAAGATCTGGTTGTTGGATTTGTTGCAGGTAACTAAGTTTTCTGAATATAAGGTGTTTTTATATTTTATTGTTTATATTGTATTTCATGTACCCTCTAAGAGGTTATTTTAACACACAGTAATACTACAAAGAATGTAATTAGTTTTCTAACTTGACTCTGTGTGTGTATAGTAAAAATGCATAACATAAAGTTTACCATTTTAATAATTTTTAAGTATACATTTCAGTAGTAGGTTTATTCACATTATTGTGAAACAGATCCCTATAACATTTTCATCTTACAAATAAGAAGCTCTATACCCATTAAACAACAATTCCCCTTTGCATCCTCCCCCCAACCATAGTAACCACAATTCCGCTTTCTGTTTGTATGAATTTGACTACTTTCGATGCCTCATGTAAGTGGAATCGCGCAGTACTTGCCTTTCTTTTTTGACTTATTTCACTCAGAACGATGTATACTCAAGGTTCACTCATACTGTAGGATGTAACGGGATTTCCCCGTTCTGTAAGGGCGGATGACACTCTGTTGTGTGTGTATACCACTCACTCCTGACTGACATCTGGGTTGTTGCTGCCTCCTGATTACTGTGCATAGTTGCTGCCGTGAGCATGGGTTGTATGAATCTCTCCGAGTCCCTGCTTTCAGTTCTTTTGGATATATTCCAAGAAGTGAGATTCCTGGATTATATGGTAACTCTTTTTATAATTTTGAGAAGAACTACAGTACTGTTTCCCACAGTGGTTGCACTATTTCATAATCCCACCAGCAGTTGGTTCCAGTTTCTCCACCTCCTCATCAACACTTGTTATTTTGTTTTTGTTTTTTTTTATCCTAATGAGAGCGAAATAATATTTCACTGTGGTTTTGATATGCATTTTTCTGATGATAGTGATGTTGATCATCTTTTCATCTGATGCTGAAGCATCTTTGGAGAAATGTCTATTCAAATCTTTTGTTCATTTTTTGAGTTATTTGATTTTTTGTTGTTGAGCTATAAGTATTCTTTATATATTCTGGATACTAGCCCTTATCAGATAGATGATTTACACATATTTTCTCCCATTCTGTGGGTTGCCTTTCACTTTGTTGGTTATGTCACTTCGTGCTCAAAAGTTTTTAAGTTTGATGTTATGCCATTTCCTTATTTTTCCTTTTTTGCCTGTTCTTTAGGTGTCATGTCCAAGAAGTCATTGCTAAGTTTAATGCCATGAAAGCTTTTCTCCTAATTTTCATCTTGGAGTTACATAGTTTTAAGTCTTTAATCAGTTTAGAGTTACTTTCTGTGTGTGGTGTCAGATAAGGATTCAACTTCATTCTTTTGTGTGTGAATGTCCAGTTTTCTTAACACCATTTGTTGATGTGACTAGACTATCCATTACCCCACTGAGTAGTCTTGGCACCCTTGTAAAGATCAGTTGATCATATACACAAAATTTATTTCTGAGCTAACTTGGCTTGTTTTTATCTTCTTAATCTGGAGAAGAGGGTCAGTTATCCCTGTTTAGCAGCCTGTACCTGGAATTTATGGACATTAAGATCTCTTTTTTAAAAAATGAAAATTACAGTACCTTTCCTGCTTATTTTTTGGGGGTTTTTGTTTGTTTGTTTTGTTTTTTGGACTGAGATGTATAACGTGAACAGGACTGGCTACATAATTTGCAGGATCCAGTGTAAACTGAAAATGCAGGACTCCTTGTTCACAATTTATTAAGCACTCCAAGATGGTTGACAGTGAAGCGTTACACCAAGCACGAGACAGGGTTGCACGCCCGTGAAGCCCACCCTGAGTGTGAAAGCGTTTCGTCAGGTGTGACAAAGAGATCTTAGTACACAGCTCAGCACAGTCAGTATCATCATAGTCATTAATACTTCTGGGGTTCATAGGAGGAAGAGGGTCACTTTTGGCTGGGAGGTATCTGCATATAGGAAGCAGTGGCTCTGGAACTGAGCCTTGGCAGAATTAGTAGCACTTGGAGATAAGTGGTGACGGTTTCCCGATGGAGGGACTTGAGAGTATATAGGACCTTGTTTAGAACAGTGAGCTCTGTAATTGAGTGAGTAGAGTGAGTAAGTGAATATAGGAACATGAGCAGTAAGTTGGAGAGTTAAGGAGCCTGACTTTAGAAGTCTTTGGATCCTTGTCACCTGAGGTTTCAGAAGAACTGGAAAGCCATTAACCTGATATTGTGAATATTTACTGTCTGTTTCTTCTTAGGGGAATGTGAGCACTATAAGATATAGAGCAGTATCTTATGTATACTCCATGTGTGTAAGGTATATATTACATATGCAAGATAACATATACTGCAGTTATGTATTTATGTTTAGTTATTATATGGGCTTCCCTTGTGGCTCAGCTGGTAAAGAATCCACCCGCAATGCGGGAGACCTGGGTTCAATCCCTGGGTTGGGAAGATCCCCTGGAGAAGGGAAAGGCTACCCACTCCAGTATTCTGGCCTAGGGAATTCCATGGACTGTGTAGTCCATGGAGTCGCAAAGGGTCGGATATGACTGAGCTACTTTCACTTTCACTTTAGTTATTATATATATATATACATATATATTCATATACATATATATATACATATATATTCATATACATATATATATATATATATATATATATATTCCCCCTCCCTTGCTAAATTTTCAGTAAGAACAATTCCTAACTTGTAGTAGGAGCTCAATAAATATTTGCTGAATAAATAAGGTATTTGTTGAATTAATCAGAGTTTTATTAAAGAGATGGGGAAAAAGTAGATCTAGTCCTTTTGTGTGTGTGCTTATCCATTTAGTTTGTATTTCAATTAATTTATTTAAATGTCCATTTAATGTTCATATTTTGTGGACTCAGTTTTTTATATATTCTTTGAAAAATTACAGATTTGGAAGCTGCACAACTGAATAATGTAAATGTCCAATTGACATGAAAATGATTTGACTGAAAAATAGTAACCAGGCCAAGAGTATTCATTGTCCCCATTTTTTCCTCTTCACCTGTATGAGACCACTGCTATGTTTTATTTGGTCTCTGAGCCTTTCTTAATAGTCTTATTTTAGTCTTTTGTTGATATTTATATAATAAACTGTCCCTTGAACCAACTTTCTTTTTCTAAATTGAGATATAATTGACATGTAATATATTAATTTCAGGTGTACAACATAATGATTCAGTATTTGTGTATATTGTGAAATTAACACTGCAGCAAATCTGGTTAACATCCATCATCACACATATTTATGAATTTATTTCTTTTCTCGTGGTGAGAACTTTTAAGGTTTACTGTCATAAACTTTAAAATATACAGTACAATTTTATAAAGTATAGTCACCCTGTTGTACATTATATCCCCATGACTTATTTATTTTATAACTGGAAGCTTTTACCTTTTGACTACCCTCACCCCCAACCCTGGGGCTTCCCAGGTAGCTCAGTGGCTAAAGAATCCACCTGCCAATGCTGGAGGCTTGAATTCGATCCTTGGGTGAGGAAGATCTCCTGGAGCAGGGCATGGCAACCCTCTGCAGTATTCTTGCCTTGAGAATCCCATGGACAGAGGCGCCTGGAGGGCTACAGTCTATAGGGTTGCAAAGAATTAGGCACGACTAAAAGTAACTGAGCATGCATACACAGACTCCCAACCTCAGCCAGACCAGCTTTCAAATAAAGAGTGTAACACACTTTCTCTGAGGAAATGAATGAATAAGTAGGTGACTCAGGACAGAAATCTGGAGGTCTTCATAGAGAGTGCTCTCTTTCCCTCCATGTCTGCTCAGGCTTCATGAACCACCAGTCTGTATCTTAAATATCTCTTGAATGCATGCCCTCTTCTCCATGTCCATAACTGTTTCTCCAAATCAAGTATTATTATCCCTCACCTGGACCATTGCTCTGCTATGATCTCCTTGCTTCTCACATCTTTCTCACTAACACACTTTGCACAGTTCTGCTCAAGTAGCCTTTCTAGGAGAATAGTTTTCAGACACTTATAATTTGAAGAACTCAGGTTTGAAATTTGTTCACTGACCAAAAAAATCAGAATAGATCCAGCCTATAGAGAGGGAATCTTCTTTTTTATATAACTGCAACAGATGGCAGTCTGGTATGATCTTTTATTCTTAATACCAAATGTTTGTAATACCTTGATTATATTATTATATTAGTTTCCGTATATATTTACATTGAAAAGGTTATGGCTCACTGTCAGGGACTAACTTAGGTAACTTTCCATGAAACTACTATTTTATGAAATATATGATGAAATCTTCTCCCTTTTGGTTGTCCAGAGCTGTTTGTTTGCTGTGTCTGGCTTCCCGTTATACACTAGGCACACACCACCCCTTGTTACATGTTCTCACTGTGAAGTGAAAGTCGCTCAGTCGTGTCCGACTCTTTGTGACCTCATGGGCTCTACAGTCCATGGAATTCTCTAGGCCAGAATACTGGAGTGGGTAGCTGTTCCCTTCTCCAGGGGATCCCAATCCAGGGATCGAACCTAGGTCTCTCCCATTGCAGGCGGCTTCTTTACCGTCTGAGCCAACCAGGGAAGCCCTGCATGCTCTCACTGTACTCTGCTGATTTTCTGTCTGACTCTTACACAATTTACAGTTATAGTAGATTCTCCCACACCTAAAACAGCTAGCCCAGAGTGGTAGGGTGGTTAGCTTTTAAAAAGTCAGTAGAAGTAGGGAATGTCATAAATGGCCCATGTGCCTTAAGTATTTTATTTTAACCTAAAATATGTGAATATATACTTCTCTGATTTTCTGTATGGCCAAGGCATATCCACTCACTGATGGGAGTTTTGTGCTTTTTTTCTGGTATGAAAGTGAAAGTCGCTCAATCATGTCTGACTCTGTGACCCCATGGATGTTACGGTCCATGGAATTCTCCAGGTCAGAATACTGGAGTGGGTAGCCTTTTCCTTCTCCAGGGGACCTTCTCAACCCAGGGATCGAACCCAGGTCTCCTGTGCTGCAGGCGGATTCTTTACCAGCTGAGCCACAATAACCCATGCCTAT